TGGGTCACTTGCTGCAATAGATAATGATGCAGTTATAGGAAACATTGAAAGGCAAATATCTTTTAGTGTTTTCTTATTTTTGAGATCCTATGCTAATTAATTGTCTGGATCCCATTTTTGGCATTTTCATAAATATTTTCCAGTTTCAAAATACCACTAATCAGATAAATGGCAGACATGTTTAACCACAGTAAATCAGCAGCTTATCAGCGAAGAATTCTAACCAAATAAACTTACTCTTTGTGCTTTCTGAACTCTGCTACTGGTTCGATTCTTTCTGGCTTGAGCCTAAAAAAATAATAATAAGAGAACCAAGATGTTATTTCTTGACAACACTGATCTAAAAAGATTGAATCAAAATGATCATTATGTAGAGATTTAAATAAAAACCTGAATATAATAACATACCAAATAAGGAGCCTTTTCATCATGTGACAATTTTCTCCATAGTTTAGCAATCTGTTTCGCTCGTTCTGGCCATTCTGGATATTCTTGTATCAAAGTTGGGTAGTTTGTATTGACGTATAATATGGAAGAAATAGTGGCATTTTTGCCTAATTTCTCATCTGCTTCCCATTTTAAAATATTTCTCCGACTTGATCCAAATCCTGATGCATCTCCATCATCCATCCACATACTGGGATCACCACTATACTGTCCTGGCATTCCTTGTGGGCTGCAAATAGAGGAGAACAATTACATTTTAAAAAAATTAAATCACAACATAAAGTCATATTTTCGAATAACAAGTAAATCTGGTAGTCATATTTTTAACCTTTGAGTTTCTGATGGCCATATACTCCATTAGCATTCAAAGAAGTCTAACCAATTCAAGGCTAACCAATCAAAAAAATACAATGCAAAGCAGCTGATATAGTAAATTTAAAGAAGGTAGGGTAGCTATTTCCCACTTACTTGAAGTTTGGATTAAATCCTTGAGGTCCATATGGAGGTGGTGGCATCCCAGGTGGAAAACCAGCACCCGCATCAGGGGGCATGCCTGGCATACCAGCTCCAGGACCCATAGGTCTAGGCATATCTCCACCCAGGGGACTATGTAATGGTGACTGTAATCCCATGCCAGGCATTCTCGGATGTCCAACATTTGATAGACTTTGTCCCATACCAGTTAGTTGAGGCATTCCTCCTGCTTGATGTGCTGTTTTTAATAAACCTTCTGATGAACTTGGTCCATGTAAACCTATGAATCAAGAAATGGTGTCTTTAAATATTCAACATTTGAAACAAATAATATTTGCTGAAATTCCGTTGATATAAACCAATCAGAACGACCCTATGTTCAGTTAATAGAATACTTCGTATTTCTTTGGAGTGAATCTTGTCATATTAAATAATGAAAATCATTTTCAAAAGATTTTCTGAAAACTGTAATTTACCTTGGGATTGATTGTGCTGTATATTATCACCAAGAATATTGGCTACTTCACTACTGTCCATTTGGATCAATCCTGAATATATAAAATTTCAAAATTATTATACAAATATATATATATACGTTTCATGTGACTAGGGATTGTAAAGAGGTTTCGTAAAATATCTATGTGTATTAAGGACACTGTTAGCAGCAATTTCCACCTAACCATTTCCCACTGGTTCTCACAATTTCACTAAACTTGGAATTTAATGAAAGTACTGTTAATTATATCTAAGGGTCAGTCTTAAAACCTTCTGACAATACCTTTAAGTTGCCAATTATTCATAAGCAAATACTTTGAAGAAAATCTGATACATGAGAAAGGTAAACGAACCTTCAGAAAGTATTTGGTCAACATCAATATTTTTCTCATCAAGGTTAGGATCTAGTAGATTATCTAAATTATCTGTACTAGATGTTTTACTTCCACCAATATCCAGATCTAGATCAAAATTTCACAAAATAAATACTTTTCCAAACTATTGCATCATAAATAACAATGTATTAGAAATTGCAAATTCAACCATTTCATAAAAAAAATAATTAAGATTCATAGGTTGAAAGATCAAGACAGAACATTTCATGAAAATATTTTAGCAAGGAATTGAATTATCAAAATTTCTAAACTATTCCTAAAGCCTTATTTCACAGAAAATAACGTGATGTTACAAGAAAGAGTAAGAAATTACCTTGAGCTTTCAATCCCTCGTCTAGCATATTGAAAAAATCATCATCTTGTTGTATATCTGGTAAAATATCTTTTAAATCACCTTCATCTAGAATGAAACAAGAAGAAATCATTTTAGATAGTGTTTAACATCCTACTGTCCCACTCTGATGAAAAAAAAAATACAATGGAGACCCAATACTGTTTATACTGTATATTGCAAATATAGTGTAGTTGTTTCATGCAATGATATATTGACATCAGGTACTAATAATGGAAGTGGTTTCCTCCAAATGGTAACTACCCATTAGACTAACATAGCATCTTTCAAGTTAGAGAAAAATACCTAGTCTATCTAGTCCTCTTAACTTAATTATGAACCCCTTACCTAAATTCTGTATATCGTCACTATGTTCTGTAGAAGCAAGGCTAGGTGTCGTTACTAGTTGTGGACGTCCTATTAAACCAGACGATAATGAGATGGACGGACCACCGTCTAAGTTCAATGGACATGGGGACATAACTCTAAACTTTTCCTGATCTTGTTCAGAATTAACTAGTGGATCTTTGTTATCTTTAGCACTTTCTAAAACATCCCGGCCAAAAAATGCTTCCTGAAAGAGACAAGAAACAGCCATCATTCGAGTAGCTTTTAAGGAAATTAATCTGTAATGATGAATATAGAGAATACCCTTGCTACACAAGGAATTGAATTAGACATGATCAATAGATAAAGTTTTAATTTCAATTTCAATTTAGATTAGTTAAAAAAAAAATTGCATTTCTTGAATATTTTCTATAATTTTAAATTAGCATGATACTTCACATACCCGTAGATAGGGTGGAAAACTCTCTTCCAGTTGAGTTCTTTTAGATTTTCGGGGTTTTCTCTGACGTTTAAATCCTGGATCTACTCCAGGTATCAGTGAACCATCTTCAGCCTGTGTTGGTTGTGCCTGATCTGGATCTATTGAGTTCTGTCGTTTATAGGCTGCTGATGTACGATGTTTAGCTCGAGGTATAAACCCACCAACACCTTTAGTAGATAAAAATAGAAGAGATTCAAATATTTCATCCTTATTGACAACACAAATGGGTTTTTTTGTTGTAAGATAATTATCAAAGATGGCGTATTATCAGTGTGCAATTGATTATAATGTAATCAACATTTTTTGTTGAAAATTTTTTGAAAATTCTTAGTTTTTTGAATCAAATTTTACATCAGAATGAATCAAACTGTCAAAACAGATACACACAAATAAGGTTTATAAAAAAATCATGATATTTCACTCTACTACTGAATTGATATCAAACTATCTTTTCTCGGAACATTAAACTTGAAACAATAAACTCACCTATTTGTCTCCTGATTTGACGTTTTTTTCGAACCTTTTTAATGGTACCATCTTCATTGTACTCTACCAGTGGTGTTTCAGGGGGACCTCCTATTAATCCTGGCTCCTGGCTTGGGGGTAGAATAGGTGGTGATGTCAATGAACCCTCTGTACCCTCCATATCATCAGTATCTGTAATCAAAATAACATCTTTATTATACTTTAAGTTGGCACTAAAGGTAAATTTGGAGATTGGAGGGATGATAAATTATAAATCAGTTCAATAACAAGTAACAATGTTTTCAAGTTTATAAACTGAGATCCATATAGCTGTCTTGCATGCAGATCTGGCTTTTTGTTTCATGTTTTTCTCTACAGTTCCATATACATGATTTGTCGCCATTCTTCTTTGAAAACTGTTCTGTGTACTAACCAATCAATAACACTGTTAAAAGTTGACTAACAATAAACAATGAATTACCCAGAATTACTTACAAAGAACAAGGAAATATTTCCAGAACAGAGAATTTTATTTGCTTGTTAATAGATACTGCTGATTGTAAATAACATCATCATGCATCAAGCTTACCTTTATCAAAACTTTCGTCACCCTCCTGAGACGCCATAGACAACAACCTTGCTACATTAGGATGTCTATTAACACCACTAGCGCCACCACCTCTACCTCGTCTTACTACTGGTTTGCGTGGCATGTGTATTTGTAGACTTTCAACTTGTTGCATTCCAGCAGCATATAAATAAACTCCATCAACCAGGAACTTTCTAGGTGGTTCTGAAATTTTAAACAGTACATTACATTACATTACTATATCAAAGAATGTGTGTTTATTATGACAGAGAGGCTTACATTACATTTTTTGCAAATATAGACCCCTTTTTTTAGAGTTATTCTTATTTTATTCTCATTTTAAAGTAAAAATTGATAAGAATAACCAAGACATTTCAGATAACTAAAATAATTAGTACCTACCTGGTTCTTTAGGTTGAGGTGGAGGGGAGGGGGGTTTGATTTCTTTTGGCTCAGAGGGTGGGGGTGGTGGTGGAGGAGGTACTGAAATGAAAAATAAATATATCATAATCTTATTCAACCTTGGTTGGGATAATTAGTTGTAACTGATTGTATTCAATGACAGCAGTATTCTTGATAATGAACGAAATATTTCTATGTGACAACTATCTCATGATTTAGGAAGAAAAATACAAATACTTACATGGTCCATCATGACCTGTTTTAGGTCGACAGAATAAACAATGGTAGCCATAATCAGCAGCAAGCTCAGCCTCATCTTCATTCTTTAACCCATCACATTGAGCATGTAACCATCTACAAAGGTAAAATAATCATGGTCTAATATCTAGACAAAGAAAATGAAGGGCTTTTTTTGTTTTGTCATTTTGTCTAAAACCAAAGCAGGGAAAAGCAGATACTGTAGTGTTAAGGTAGAAGATATAAAAAATAATTTGAATTTATTTTATTTATCTAAAATGGAAACAGGGTAAAGTAGTTGGTGTAATACTATGATAGATATTAAAAGAGAGTGACCTACCTATCACACTGAACACACTGTAAGATTAACTCTTCTTGTTGATACGACCGTCTACAAGCTGGACAGATGACCTTACTAGCACATGGTCCACACTGCGTATAGTTATTCTTCCAGTTACAACCAAACCCTGGTGTAGTAGCTCCACAATTTAAACAACTTACACACCTGTTACAAAATATATAAGAAGGTGAAATTGAGTTCATAAATAACTGTGTCTCTATATGAAGTATTGAAGACCTTAATTTTACTGTACTTTGAAAAAGGACAAAGGGTCAGCTGAATGACTACAAAAAGGTTCTTACAACTATAATGAAATGAAATTAAACTGAGGTTTACATCCTACTTTTCTGCACCTGTTTGGGCTTTTGGGCAACGCCAATGCAGTTTGCCAGGACAAACTTTTTATCAATCTCCAACCGTTAAGGGATCTGTAATGTGCATAGGCTTCATCACAAACTATTAGAATGAGGTTTTTTAATGTTGCAATGAGAATAAACACCATTACCATTTGCATTTCCAGTTGCCTTTAGGAACATGTTCTAATGGTGGTTTAAGACAATATGTATGATAACTTATATCACAGTCATCACACAGCAGTAATCTCCCTTCATCATCTGGTTTACCACATCCCTCACAGACTGTACAATCTAGACATCGCCATCCTTTTAGTAGGATTACTTTAGTAACCTACAATACAGATATAGAAATATACAATATGGGGCTAGACTAGATTTACATTTTACTATGAAAAACATCACAAACAATATACAGTGTGCTCAAATTGAGTATGGTATTGTCTTTATTATCTGATTAAGGAATTGTTTAATTCCATACCCAAAATGCTTTTAAAAATTACCTTCCATCAACAGCTTTACATTAGATATGACACAATGCTATGTTCCTTGTAAAATCATTATCAAAATTAAAACACTTGAGCATCAAACTAACCTTAACATTAGCACAATAAGGATGATAACACTGTCCACATTGAGTACAACTGATTAATTTACTTTCTTCATCTCTCCCAAAGGCTCCACAACTTTTACACACGTCCTGAAAAATACAACCAAAATATTGACATTGATTTTCGTGTAGTGCTAGCACAATATATCGGTGAATGGATCCATCGCAATACAACATGTCAATATATGATTCGAAATACCCAGCACCATTCTGATTTTAGTTTGATGAGTATATAGACCAAGAGCATGCATGTAACTGATATAGGGCTAATTAAAAGGTAAAAGAATACAAGAATAGTAAGCAAGTATTTACCTGATCTAATGTAAAAGTATCTTTAGCACTACATAATGTTATAGTGGTAGGATGATCATCACCACTGTCTTCGCTCTTATCATCTTTACATGACCCTGTTGTTATAATCTACAATAAAACATATATACTGTATAATTGTGAATATAATGCACACTCATTCTTACCAATGTGGAAAAATCTGAGTATACACTCTAATAAACCTATTTTGTTAAATCGTTTACACAATCATCAATATAATTTAGTTTTGTTGTTGAGGCTAGTACTAAGGGTGGGACTGATATGTCAGTCATTATCTTTGCAGACAACTTCAGAAACGCCCCTCTCTATATAGGGGAGTGTCTGAAGTTGTCTGCACATGTTGCTATTAGCACAATTCAACCTTGTTATAGCACATCAAAGCACCTCCCACTTGTTTAAACAATGCAAGATCAAAGGAAATTCTCGATATATTATAATCTATATTACACCATGAATTTATACACTTACCTGGCTTGTAGGAGTTCCACCACCTAGCTTTATTTTAACTTTTGGTCCTCGACGTTTTTCACCGTATTGAATAGGTTCACTTCGATTTCTTCTCTTCTCAGAAAATGACTGACCCTGAAATTATTCATTTTATTTAGAATACGAAATTTTTCTTCAATGAAATCAGATGGAGTTTTCTCTCCTCCTTTTCTACACCTGATTCTAAGCAAAATAATAAAATTTTATGTCAGACCAAATAACTATAAAGCCATGTTTTTAAATACAATCAACAGCATAAACTCATGACAAGAAATTCTTGATTCCTAATATGAACACCAAACTAACTTACCCGTTTTTGACTTGAGGAAAGTTTTTTCTTGCCTGCTGCCTTGAGTTTACCACGATCTATTAATTTACCCTTACCACCATGACCTTTACCACCCTGAGGGGGAGCAGGTGCTGTTGGGAAGCTTGGTGGATGAGCTGGTGAAAGTCCCTAGGAAAGAAATTAAATAGCAGTATTGTTCTGTACCTTATAAGACCTATTGCAATCTACCCAGGCTGTATTTGCCAAGGACCCGCTGGTAGAAAGGAGCAAGTAGTTTTCCTTGTAAAATACAGCAGTTTCAATCAAATATTTTTTTATATTTTCTTCATGTCATCCATTCATATTTTGGGGATATATTAATAATAAGGGGAAACTAGAAGAAAGTTACATTTCTTACCTGATCAATCATGCTGAAATCAAAGTCCATACTGGAATCTTCATCATACAGTGATTCTTGAGAACTGGCTGTTAACATACTGGTACTCTCACTTAAAAACGATTCTTCTTTTAATATTAAACTCTCTGTCACTGGATCTACAGAAAATAAATCAGATATTAAGCTAAAGTAACTGAGACTAAAGGTAAGAAATCAAAGTTGTTAATCTACTACAATATATCTCGAAAATAAAGTTCACAAGGGATAGTCATTGACCCAGGGGTTAAGCAAGCAACTAACTGAATAAATGGAGAAAGTTCCAACATTTTGAGAAATGGTTGTTCATTTGAGTGATCCACTATGCATCATTTTAAGTTCAATCAGTAATACATAAGCTTTTAAATAACCTTTCAGTGGTTCAAATGTCTCTGACAATGATTCCTCTTCTGGTAATGGTAATGGAAAGGGACCTAACTCCATCTGTTGCTGCAAAATAAACAGAAAGATAAATTACTATCACTGTAAGAATCAAGATTTTTCAAGATAACACACATCTTAATATAAACAACACATATCCTTCAAGCAACTTTCTCATTTGTAACACTAAAAAACACAAAGAATCAATATCAAAATTAAAATCCTTACCTCTTGTTCTTGTTCAATACAAACAGAACATACATAATCTGTAGGTTGACCATCTCGTAATTTTTGTAATATTGTAGCGTCTATACTTATATCACATTCACTATGCACATATCTATAAAACAATGTTAATAATCAATAATCAATATAAATAATGTACAAATCTTTTAAGCTTGATGAGATAATTTCATGGTAATAGAACAACATAATTACTGTAGGAGTTACCTTAAACTGAGACATACTACTGCCCTAATCAGAACAGTCTTTCTACTAAGAAAAACTGACAACTATGTACTCTTTAACATAATCACATTAGATGACAAGCCTTATGAGCAATAAACCAAAAGAGTCTAGTTGATCATAAGAAATAGTATAACTTACTTTTTACACTTATTACAGGGTACCATGGTTTTATTATGAAAATGTCTATAAGCTTTTCCACACAATGGACAACACAATCCTTTATTTCGCTGCTGATAACAACTGTCACAAACAGAATAATTTAAATGCCATCGCGAACTCGGTCCATTACCGGGCGTCCGTGCACCACAATCACTACAAACTCGACAGTTTTTACATTTCCAACCGTTTTTGGGTATTGTTGTCATCGCTGGTTTTAAACAGAAAGTATGATATCCTTTATCACATGTATCACACACTAACATCTTACTGTCTTCTCCTGGATGCCTGAAGCATATACAAATATAATATTAATCAACGGTTTTCCTTGTATAAGGAGGCAGTGGTTTACATCTGACACTGGTCAAACAAAATATCTGAATGTGGCAAGGGATTTCCTTAGCTTTACAATAATGGACAGAGCTATTCAATATAATGGATGGATTATTCTTTTTGATTTATATTTGTTTTAAAGATGGACATAAGGCCTTTTATATAAGATTTCAATAACGACCAGACCTGGAATTGCCAAGTACCATTTACCTCACTGAAATACATTGTGAAATATATGCACTGAACTGGTTTCATCTCAAATTACCAAGTAACAATCAACTCACCGACATGTTTGACAGATCTTACAGTTAGGACATTGCCAACCAGCCCGGACAATAGCCTTGACCTCTACAGCTGGACAGAGACAGGTACCATGGTAATGCATGCCACAACTTGTACAGAATAGCTGTTCTCCTACATTACCAACTGTAGCACATTGAACACAAACTGCACTCGCTACAACAGAACATTTAATTTGAAAACATTGAGAAACTGAAAAGATTTGGCTGCCTAGTATTCAGTTATTAAAAATTTACAAAGTGATTAATGGTTGTGATCATTCAGATGCTTTGTTGTAACATTTCAAATCTTGAATAAATAAATAAATGAATGAATGAAAACTGTTTCAAAAAACAAACAATTGAAAAGATTGTTTGATGTTTGTTCCATGTAAAAATGTTTTACAATTCATTCTACTGACTTTAAATCTGTACTAACATACACAGCTGAATAAATTTACAAGAGTGTCCACTTACGTATATTCTCAGCCTGTTGAAGATGTTGTGGACACCATAATGATAATGTACTGTAATCTTGGTACGAACCACCTGCTGCAGCACAGGGATAATGATAAAATAAACCACAATCTGATGTACAACATTGGATTGATGCACCAAAACGATTACAATAATTACATTTCTACAAAAGAAATAAATCAATATATTAGATTGTTTAACAAAAATAAAAGAAAATATGCAATGTTAGAATGGGCTCAATAAAATCAATTTCAAGAGCTAAGGTTGATTTTATTTCAGTTTTAACATAGATTTGGAAAGTTTTTTCCTAAGAAGGTTTTTATTTTCTTTCCTCTTAAAATAAAGTGACAAGAGATAATATAATTAGAGTTTCACATTCTACTGGAAGGCGAATAAGGAACAAATTCTTGTAACACATACCGAAGCCGGAACTTACTCAGGGAAGAGGAAAGATTAAAACTTACATGTGTTAAACCAGCAAACACAGCTTTATCAACGTTTAATAATGTTGTTCCATCTTCGCTTCGTGTTACACCCAATTTTATTGACCATAGTGCACAACCTTCATGGGCATATAACTGACCTACAATCAGAAGAAATAAAATTAAAGGATTTAGAAGTGGGATCACAAATAAATACTTTAAAAAAAATACAATGTACAGAAAATTCATTGTCATAAACTGAAATAGCATGCTCATATACAGGTCTGACTCAAAAAATCTAGTCGATTTAGTTTCTATTAGGTACTATTTAATCTACTATAAACATACAGTAGAGTTCTTGTATTAATATCTTTTCTTGACTATACTTCACACATTTTGTGATAAAATTTTATATTTCATTAGAGGACAGCCAATGAGCAAAAGTAAAACTGAACATTTTCCAGTTTAAAATAAAGATTATTTACCTGAGGGTTCAAAAACATTTATGAGCTCAACACCTTCATGAAATCCTACCAGGGATAATTCATCTATAACATGAGATATCAATTCATCTTCTGATAATTGACGTGGTGATCGACTTCGCTCTCTGGAAAATATTAGAAATATTAGTCATCTAACTCAAAGCACCATGTAGTTGATCAAATTTCATAATGTACATCAAATGAAAATAAACAAACCAGATATGAAAATGTGTGACGGTAAGATACGTCTATAAACATTACTCATTTTTGTTATGTTAAAAACGTCTATAAACATTACTCATTTTTGTTATGTTAAAAACATAAGGATTGCACGATTTGTTCCCTAATGACAGCTGCATTAAATTACATCGCTACCCAACAAATATTTCCTTACCGACATCCTTTGGTTGGACCTCTCATTCGTCTAAATGTTGGATGTTGTTTCAATGCTCTATCTCGATCTTTCTCCACATCACTGCTAGATCTATCTCGATGTAAAACATTAGCGAAGACATCATAACCAGGTGTTGGCTCATATAGTGTTAATTTACCCTGTCCTAATAGACTTTTCTCACCACACCCACAAAATGCACAAATATTTCTAGACCTACAAATAACATGAAATTAAGCATAAATATAATATTAATTGCAAAAGGAAAACAT